CCCCAAAACCCCAAAACCCCAAAACCCCATGCAATTAGAAATGTAAATTAAGAGCAGAATAATTATTAATTTCTGAAAACTAAACTATGTCAAATCACGACAGTGTTAATATGTTTAAGATTCAAACTGAAGAGAGTGAGGATACAGCTAGTAAGAAAATAAATTCTATTAATAGTAAGCATAATGAGTATATTTTGAAAATTTAGAAACATCTCAGCCTTAGTTATCTTCAAGACATCATTTCGTCACTCCAAATATAAAGTAATACTAGCAGAGTGCTTCTAAAGATAGTTAAGCATAATCACAACAGTAACAAAAAGCACAACATGCATTATCTGAGAAAAGTACTGATTTCATTATTAAATTTACTTCTTAGAGCCTTTTAACCCTACAGCCTTATCAGTGTTCAGAAGGAAAAAGAGCTAAGAAACTACTTCGATAGCAACTGATCCAAGAGATGCTTTTCAGAACACACAAACAATCTTAAACAATAACTTGATGCTTTCAGCAAGATCAAATAGCTAAATGAAAAATGATTCGGCAAATATGAACCAACTAGCTCAAATTGCTTAAAATATTAATCTGGGAAATCATTAGCAAATGACTACATAAACAAGAACATCAGTAGGTGATCTCTTGAAAATAAATAGCCAGAATTTCTTGATTGGGAGTGGAAAAATGAATGAAAATGTATTGAATTCTATGTCTAAAAATTTCCCATCATTCTAACATACCACTTTTGAAATCAGTAACTAGAACGACCCTAGAATGTTATCAAACCAATCAATTCAAGTCTACGAATCAAATAGATTTAGCAATAACTTAAAACGAGGTGCAGGGATTTCTTTTAATGCAAATGAAACTGCTAAGTTCAAGCTTAGAAATGCCTCTTAGTCAAATAGCAATTCTCCAAATAGAGTAATCTATTATATTGGTGATGGTGCTCCACTTATTAACAAAGATACAAACCAGATTTTTGATTCAAGCACTCAAGGTTTTCCATATATGAGAAAGAAACACATGCATAAAGCTAGTGATATACAGTAGAATATAGATGAACCAGAAGATGGTATTAAAGGTAATGATGAGGATAATGATAGAGGTACATATACTGAAGAAGAATATATCGGTTTAAAGCCTAAGGAGAGAACGCTTCTGCTTACAGTAATGGAGGAAAAGGTGCTGCATATGCAGGATAAAGTTAGAATATTGAAGTAAAAGCTAAAACAATCGAATGAGGAGAAAGAGGATTATGAAATTAGTTTAAAAAGAGTTATTAATACTAATCATAATCTTCATGATAATCTTACTAAACTTGTAGAGAAATTGTAAGTAATATAGAACTCAGATGAGTAACAAAAAATGCATAACCTACTTAGAGATAATGAATAGATAGTCATAAAATGCATAAAATATCAATTAGACTGTCTCTCATTCTTCAAAGATATTGTTACAATTAATAGAGATAGTGATAGCAAAAATCTTAAAATGAAACTTGATAAATACATCTCAACAGAGGGGTAGAAGTTGAATAATAATATCTTTAAATAAGATTACTTAGAAAATAAACTAGTAGAGATATAGAGATTGCTCGAAGAGTATAACAGCAAATTTGATAGCAGCTTGCTTAATTTAGACCAAGATGTGAAATCATCTTAGGTTTAGATCTAGCTTGAACATTCAGAAAGCCAATAGATTTTCCAGATATATAACTCATAAACAGATGGGATTAAGGCATTTGATACTAAAATGAATCAAAAACTAAGGGGTAATATAAGCTAACTAGAATCAGAAGTTAAACTATTAAATGGAAAAATTAAGGAATAATCTAGAATAATAACATTGCAAAATTAAACTCTTGATAAGAAGATATCAAACGCTCTCAAAGATTTAGATACAACAAAAGTTCTTCTTAGTAAAATATAAAAGAACAACGTCGAGCTCAAGGCTTAGGTGAAATAGAGTCATTTTTAAGTTGGCTAGAAATCCTAGACCTAATCATCAGTTAAATCAACTGGAAATCTTAGTGATCAGACATCTCTGTTGATTTCAAAGCTTAGGAAAGGTTTTATTTAAATTAGAGATGAGGTTAAATTGAACATTAAAAACCTAAGAAATACAATTAAAAATCACAACCCTGGATAAAGCAATGAGCTAGTAAGATCTATAAATGATTACAACAATGTGAAAGGAAAGATATAAGTTCTAATTGAAGGGTTTACTTCTGACTTGGGTGTTAAATTCTAACTTGACATTGAGGATTTGAGGCAAAATATGAATTCAATTGATGAAAAAATCAAAAAACTAAACTTAGACTTCGACAAAAGATATCATAGTTCGGCTAAGAAGATTAAGAGAACTGAAAAAGAAAAAGTAGAATTATAGTAGACCTTAGGAAACCTATAGGATGAACTGTCAATTTTAAGATCAGCTACTACTGATTAAAGTATTTAGAAGACCTTCCAATAGATATCTATTATCCTACTTTAAGGCTTCTAAAATGACCAAGATAATATTCTTACTGATTAATAAAAAGAGCTTATAAGGACATTGTTTGGCAACCAAGTAAGTGGAGTAATGTAAGATTTCAGTCGTAAATTATCAGATCTTGAAAAATACAATCGATAACTATAAGATGGTGATTTATAAACTAAAATCTAGCTGAGAGTATAGCTTACTCAGTCATTAAAGTACATCGATGACTTGATTGATCTAATCTAAAACTTCTATTCAGACAATTCTTCTGAGATCATTTAGTAATATCAAGTTTAAAAAGAAAAACTACTTGAACAGGTGAAACTAGTACAGATTTAAATATAAAATTAGGAATAAAAAGATCTTCTTGGGGATGATGTGGCTATGAATGAATTTGATAGAAAGCTAAGTATGATAGATGAGAACTCGTTTTTCGTTGATTAGTCAGTAGAGCTCAATAAGAATTAATCAGTTAGAAGAAGTGGAAGTCAAGGTGGGGGAAATGTCAGAACTAGATAATATAGAGACAGGATAGCCGATTTAGAAAATAAGATTGAAATGCTGTAACTAGAAAATCTTTAGCTTTAAAAGGATCTCAAGAAACAGGTCTCAGTATTAAGGTATCAAAATTCAATATTGGAATAAGATCTAGCTAATGAATTCAAAATCGCTAACTAGAGGTTGATGAAATCCAAGTCTGATGAGAAATTCTAAGCCTTAATAAAGCTGAACAATCGTAAAACATAATACTCTAATTAGAATATTGATAAAATATCACCATAGATACTTGATAGAGGAATGAAGAGTTTGTTGGAGTAGGATAAATCTTAGCTTTAATAATTCAATCAGAGAAACCAGCAGAAATTGAGCATTAATCCTATTGAGGTTAAATAAGATTCTTATTTTGAACAGACACTTCATTTTACGCCACAAATGAATAGAGACTCAGTGATTTATGATATATCAGACTAAGGCAAAGACCAAAAACTTTCTCGTATTTTAGCTTCATCCTAGAGAAAGGGTCAAAAGTACGATGAGAATCCATTACTAGCACCATAAGTCGAAGAAGTAATAAATTAATATGAGGAGTAAAATAAAATGCTACAAAACTTTATCTACTCCTAGGCACTCTATATAGAAGAAAATCTTATGATGGTAAAGCCAATTAGTGAAAAATTCAGCATGATGTAAAATAGCAATGAAAATCAAAGCAATATGAGTATCAATAGCAATACATTTATGAGAAATATTGGAGCAGAGAAGCGTATTTCTAGACTAGGAAAGACATCAGCAGATACAAGCAAGTCTAAAAGTGTGACTAGATACCAAATCATAGAAGAAGATAGGTTTTTGAATGGCGATATTAACATATGAATCAATTATTTATCCCTAAAACTAAATAAATGCATCAAGGGGTTTTGGGGTTTTGGGGTTTTGGGG